TGTTAAGTCAGTTCCGGTTATTCCAGTTAAGAATATATATCATGTTAAGTTCAGTAGAGCATCTTAACGAAATTTATCAGTTAAGTTGACAGTCTGAGCATAGTCATTAGTAATTGTTTATATTATTTTCAGTTTGATCAGGCATCAGCACTACCGTTCAGTTCAGCAGTTCAGGTGGGGACTCAGACTAAGTACTACATTGATTATAATTACGGTACCATGTTTGAGGTATGTATTTCAGTTGAGGTATCCGCTCAGAATGGTCGCCGGTCCATTCTGGGTTCTAGTGGCCCTAGTCTGCCCACTAGAGTGTGCACATGGGTCCGGCTTTGCCGGCAGATGAGGTAACGGTCAGGGTCACGTTTGCGTGACGATTTCAGATTCATGTTCATGTTATTACCGGCTTGAGGTTGAGGTTGAGGTTATGTATATACTGATATCATGATGTTGTTATTATTTTCAATGTTTACATTAGTATGAGTTTCCACGGAGCACAGTGCCATAGTGCTCACGACCCACTTTTATCATGTTTTTCAGGTCAGGACGTCGGGCCGGGAGCATGAGCTGACGGAGGCTTCAGGACATTTATGTTTTTGGACCGTATATTTATGATGATGACTTACGCTTCCGCTAATGATGTTTTGATGACTTGTGACGTACTTATATTTTGACGAACTTTTGGGAAACTTATGCTTTCAGTAACCGGATGATTTTATTAAAATTAAAATAACGGTTTTCCAAATTAAGTCACGATTTTAAGGTAGCACCCCGAATCAGTTTTCGCAAAGTAAAAGGCTTTAGTTTTAAATAACTTTGCGAATTTTTCGCACTCTGATTTAACGATAAGGAGGGGTGTTACAATTGGTATCAGAGCACGTTTCTGCGTCTTTGAAAAGTTTTTAAGTCAGTATTTTTCAGAAAAACCCGAACCGTCATGCTCACGCTCCGCCGACGACAGGTAAGTGTTGATTCAGTTTTTCAGTTATAAACATATTACTTTGTCTATGCTCAGAATTAAGGATCAGGACTTTAGTTAAGATGCTCGAATCAGGTTCAGACTTTAGAGTTCGGAAATGACTCTAGAATTCAGGATATTCAGATATGACTCTAGACATTAGGATTTTCCTATATGACTCTAGAGTTCTTCAGGATTCACGTCAGCATTTATCGGCCATTTTTGGCGACTCGTCAAGAGATCTGTGTGCCTTAGTAATCAGTCAGAATGTTATCACGTATTCAGTAATGTTAAACTTTCTCAATGATCAGATGCCGCCCCGTAGGGAACCCGATTACCCGATTCCTACTCAGGTCACAGTAGTCGCACAGTTCCGCGACTATCATGTTGAGAATTCTCCGGGCAGGGAGATCCCTCGTATCATGGGCAAGTGGATTTAGAACCTTAGAAAGGGATTAAGTTTAAGAACTCTAGATTCAATTCTAGATTTACTCAAGTCAAGTTAGCAACTTGTCAGGAGATTTGTAAGCACTTGTGCTAAACAAGTCTTAATAATCATGTTTCTCAGATATTTTTATCGAGAACTGCCATTTTGTCAATCAATTGGCAGACTTCAGGGAGAAATTCCTTGATTTAATTCGAGGAATAGACTCAGATTTCTTAAAGTCAGATCAGTAAATCATGTTCAAGGCAAAAATGTTCATGTTAAAGGTTGTTATAATTCTCAAGTCATTGTTAAGGTAACGGTTTTCAGTGTATAAGAGTCAATAGTCCGGGTTACCGTGGAGGCTTGAAATAATAGCCATTCAGTCGGGTATACCATGGAGGCTTGAAGCTGAAACCGGAGCAGTATGATTTCATGTAATAACAACCTTTCAAGTCAGTCATGCCAGATATTTTATCAGTCATGATATTTTAAGTTATGACTTTCAGAGATCAAGATCAGCTAATTAATTTGTACTTGCGGGACCAGTTGATACTGGAGCAGCCCTATACAGTACAGAGTTCATGTTCACGATTTACAGTTTATGTTCATGATGTAAGGTCGACGTATAATAGTTGTTCAGTCGGGTTAAAATGTGGCAGTCTGAGATACAGACCATTAGTCCAAATTACCTGGAAACTTGAAGTCGTACCTTATCAAGTAAAGTAAGTCAGTAAATATCACGTTTTCAATCTCGAAGCGACTATTTAAGTTGTCTCGAGATAGTTTTCAGAGTTCGAGCAAAGATGATTCAGTCATGTGAGAGTCAAGTCATGGTTATTCAGTCATGAGAGTATTCAGGCCAGTCATGTTAAGATCGAGGATAGTTTGTCTAATAAGACAAGACTTATCCATCATTTTTAGTATGTCAGCGCCCCGATTCTCAAATTCTGATGAATCTGAAAAACCGGGGGAGATATTCAGTCATGATGGACTTCTTCTTGAGGTTAAGTTTAATCTCGGAGGGAGTAAAAAGGTTGCAGGTACCACAGGTTGACATACGCCGCGACGAAGAAGGGCCAATCGACAGCAACGGATCGTGCCATGATGACAAACCGATGCCTTCCATTCAAAGATGCCATGCTTGAGTCTCAGTATACTGGGAGATTACAGAGAATTAGTATTAACGTACATTGAGGTTACTAGCTTGAGGTATTTATGCGATCGGATTATGTCGACGACGTAGGTGCAATCTTCGCCAGGTGCTGTATGCAGGCGTGCCGCACTCATTTGATGAGGAGCAGGTGTGCCGCATTACAATGTGCCGCGAACGATGTGCCACATTGTCGAGCAGGCATTAATGAAAGGTAATGACCAATATAGCTAGTTATCCTTATTTGTGCACATGTGAAACTCTGGGATCTTCCATGTGTACCTGCGACAGGAGTCTTCACCACCAGCATTCCGATTGGAGATCAGCCAGCAGCCAGGAGATGATGACCAATACGTTTCAGAGTTTCGTTTCGAAATCATGTCTTATCAGTGGAACACTTTCTTTTAGAAAAGTGTCCATTCTCAGTCAGCAGTAATCAACAGTTCACTTAATGATGAATTGATGATTTTTCAGTTCAGATCAAGTCTATCATTCAGTAATTAAAGTACTGAATTTTCAAGTCATGTAATCAGTAAGTATAAGCTTT